CGACGGGGTCGGCGGGGGCTGTCGCTGAGCGGAGCCGGAGGCCGAACAGGCGCCGCCATCGCCGTGGCTGCCGCCTCCTTCTTCAGCCATCCGCTCCTCAGACGCCGCCGCCATCTTGGGAGTTTGAGTCCTTCCTCCACTGTAAAGGGACCAGGACACTTCCTGTGCGTCACTTCCTCCTTCTGCCTCCTCGGGGCGGGGGTGGGTGGGCAGAAGGAGAGGGAGGAGCTTGTGGGATGACAGAAGGAGAGGGACCAGCGCTTGCTGTGCATCCCATGGAAAGGAAGATGCTGTACACCTCAAGGAAGGTGGTCTTCGCAATAATCAAAGACTTGTAAACCCCGAGAAAGGCGGTCATCAGGGTCCCTTATCTGATTGGAAACTACCTGAGGGTAGCGGAGCGTGCCTTGTTAAACTGAAGGAAACTGGACCAGTTTTTAGTTCAAAGCAACTCGACAAAGGACGAGAAAAACCATGCTATCTTCCTAAGTTTAGATGGAAATTTGCATTTAGAGCAACTTTTCCCAAGAGTCATTGTAATAATTTCAGCATAAAAAAGGAATAAACTACCGCTACGTAAAAACTACAAGACAGTAGACGAGCCCTGAAAGCATGTTAGTGAAATAAAAACAGACTCACAGACTGTAGGACTGCTTTTAGATGAGATGTCTCATATAGGCACAGCCATAGAATCAGGGGCCAGAGAGATGTCCCAGAGGTTAGAGCACTTGCTGCTCTTTAGAGAACCTGAGTTTGGTTCCCAGCATCCACAATGGGTGGCTTGCTCAACTGAAACAGAACATCTTAGTGGTTGCTGGAAACTGAGGACAAGGGAAGTGTGGAAGACGACTGACAGTTAGCAGGTACATCGTTTCTTTTTGTGGGTAATGAGAAAGTGGGATTAGAAGCCAGGAAAATGACTTAATGGGTGAAGACATTTGTTACTAAACGGGACATCTGAGTTTGATCTCCAGGACCCACATGGGGAAAGGATAGAACAGACACACGCCCAAACAAATAAATATAATTTTAAAATGAGAGTAGGGGCCTGGTGGCATGGCTCAGGGGTTCAGAGCACTCGTTGTTCTTGTAGAAGACCTGCGGCACACACCTGGCAGCTCCGTGCAGAGATATACATGGCAGCAAAACACTCGCACACATGAAATAAGTCTAAAATATGCTTTAATGGAATTAAACAGTAGTGGATATACAACCTCGTGAAAATACAAAAACCACTGCCTTGTATGCTTTAACGACTTGTTTTAAATTTCTGTACCTATGTACTTATGTACACATGAGCATGGCTTTGTAAAGATTCCAGGAGAGGGGGTTAGAACTCCCGGAGCTGGAGTCACAGGCAGTTTGAGCTGAGCAATATGGCCGCCGGGACCCAAACTCAGGTCTTCAGGAAGAGCAGCAGGTGCCCTGAGCCTCTAAGCCATCTCTCCAGCACCCAAATTGTATGCTTTTTAAAAAAATGACTATTATTCTATGTGTCTTAGCTAACAAAACAATCGATTTAGACAACCACTGAAAAAAATGCTAAAAATAGAAAGCTAGCACGTGGGAAGGTGCAGCACACAGTCTCAAAATAAACCCCCGCGTGATACATATTAATTGCAAAAAGGGAAAAGTATGATACAGAAATTCAACAAACAGGTTCATAATCAAATGATTAAGAATATCACCACAAGCTGTAGGAGGAGCCAACAGCACATGCCTCTTACTGGGACCCCCTGTCAGTGACTCAACATAATGAAGTAGTCATACATAAAAATACAAAATCTGCATTTGAAGGAAACAAACTTAGGTTGGACTTTGTAGTGGTTTAGATGAGAATGTTTCCTAGAGGTTCAGGCATTTGAACACTTAGCTCCCACTTGGTGTTGCTGTTTGGGGATCCTTTGGGAGGCGGGGGCCTTGCTGAAGGAAGCTGTCAGTCACTAGGGCTGGATTTTGGTTGTCGCCTCACTCAACTTCCACTTCCCTTTCTGGTTTGTGCTTGCTCCTATTGCCGTGCTTGCCTCTTGATGCATGTCTCCTCACCACGGGGTATATATGTTGCCATAGTCATGGTATTTTATCACAGGGACAGTAGAGTAACGAACACAGACTTGAACTTGTGAGGTCTCTGCCACCCATGATTCCATTTTTTAAAGGTTTCATCCATGATGATCAAGGTTACAGTGCATGTGCCGTGATGAACACACTCAGACCGGACCCATATCATAGAAGTGATGGTTAGCATTCGATAGGTATTTTATGTCTATTTGTTTCTAGATGTTTGCATATTTATAATGTGTTCATTTTCTCTCCTCTAATAGACTGCAATTTTACTTTTGTGCCTAGGGCATTGCTACCTCTTAGGAGAACCAGTTGCAATTTACTCTAAATTGAAATAATTTTCTACCTAGTTTAATCAGAGTTGGAAGCTTTCTCCATGGGTTGAGTTGAGACAGAATTTCTATAAGTGGAGTCATGCTTTAAGTACATTATGGGAACTCTCACTTAGAGGAAACACACAGGAAATCTTATGTGGAGGGCCGCAACCACATTCTCCATTGCTTCAAGGGACAAAGGTAGAGATTGACCTCTGTGACCTCAAGGTGTGGTGGTACACGCCTTTAGTCCTGATGCCTGGGAGGCAGAGGCAGATTGACCTCTGTGACCTCAAGGTGTGGTAGTACACGCCTTTGGTCCCAATGCCTGGGAGGCAGAGACAGGCAGATCTCTGTGAGTTCAAGATGTTGTAGCACACGCCTTTAATCCCAGCGCATGCATGTGCTTGGTAACTCTCTACTGCTGCATCCCTGCCTACTTCCGAGGCATCATCTGGGATAATGGGCAGCGGACCAATCCAAGAGTGACACGTCAGAAGTGAGGACTGTTTCCTTTATAAGGGCTGGGTTCCCCTCATTCTGGGTCTCCGCTTTGGAAGCTGATGCTCTCCCTCTCAAGACGCATTAAAGCTTTACTGCAGAAGAATCCTAAGTGCCCCGCGTCGTTCTTGCTGGCGAGAAGGTAGCGCGGGACAATCTTATAAGAAGTGAATCATCATTCTCTCATTTAACTCATGTATTTTGTTAATCGACTCATTACACCCAGTTGTTTGTATGAAGTGAGACTACAAAAAGCAATCCTATTCCCATAACTCTGCGTGTGTGAATGACTGGTTAGTAGCCAGGTCTGTGGTCTGAGCAACAGGACACGAGTTTGGGCATAATTTTAATTAGTTCTTGCCACTCAGACCATTCATTTTTCCCTCTCTCTATAGGCACTAGATTTCCACCCTAATGTTTTCTGTGCTTGTTTGGGGTTATTATTTGTTTCAGAGGCACGCAGGATTGAACTCACAGCCCTGTGTGTGCTAGCCAAGAACTCTGTTATCCAGTTATAACCATAGCTCCTACCTGGTGTGGGAGAATTGTCTGTATTCTTTCAATCATGTATTTTAATAAAACACTGATTGGCCAGGCAGGAAGTATAGGCGGGTCAACCAGACAGGAAGTATAGGCGGGGTGATGAGAACAGGAGAGGAGAAGGCTAGGAAGAAGAAAGTCCCTCCGCCATTCCTGTGCAGACCACCGAAGAGGCAGCATGTAACTTGCCCAGCTGAGAAAGGTACGGAGCCATGTGGCTAATGTAGATAAGGATAATGGGGTAACATAAGTTATAAGAGTTAACAAGAAGTCTGACCTAATGGGCCAATCAGCTTTATAATCTTATGGAGTCTTGTGAGTGACTTTCTTTGGGATATGTGGCTGTGGGGTACCTGGCAGGAACAGATATCCCAACAAGCCGGTCCTCATGCTACACCTACCAAATTTTCCATAAATAAAATTTCAAAGCAAATGGTAGTTTTGTTTTAATTTTTTTAAAAAAAATCAATCTTTATTTTGGATATACTTCCCAATCCAAATGAATATGTGCACTCCTAGGAGAAGTTCTGCAGTCCAAATGTAGTTTTGGGTCAGTCTGCTATCAAAGGTACTTACAAGGCAGGGGATTTGAGTAGGGGATGGGAACAAACTTCTCAAGAACCACGTTTCCCAGTGTCACACCTGTGAAAATGTGAAAGAGAATAATACCTTCCTCACACAGCTGGTGTGAGTGAGTGGCGCCTTTATTTATTTATTTACGTGTTTGGTGATGGGGATGGAGTTCAGGAACTTGCCTGTGATAGGCAAGTACTCCCCAGCCTTATTTGTTTATCAGTTTATTTCTGCTTTGTTTTGTGAGATAGGGATTCTCTAGCCTCAAGCCTGTAGTCCTCCTATATGCTAGGATGCAAGCTTGCGCCACCATGCATAGCATTAAAACCAATTTACAGTAACGTGGACACTGTGAGTCATTCTATCCGCTCCATTCCCATCTTCATGTCTTTCGGATCAGGGTATTTGAAGGGGGAGGTGGTGAGACTGGGTGTGGTGGGAGGTGATAAGGGGAGATCTGTCTTGTCCAATTGCACTTCCACATGACGTTGGGTTTATGTATAAAAGAGAAAGAGGTAACTGTACCTTTTTTTCTGATGCATGGTAGCAGATCTGTAATGTATTAAGAAGGAATAAAGCTTTAACTCTCATTCTCAATAATGAGGCTTTGTATTCTTGTGAATTTTAATCACCTACTTTAAAAAAATTTTATCTTTCATTTTATGTGTGTGAGTGTTTTGCCTATGTATATGTCTTTGCACCATTCCATGCAGTACCTGCAAAGTCCAGAAGAGGACGTCAGATTTCCCCTGGAACTGTCCAGTTACAGTAGTGAGTAGCCATGCGAATGCTAGGAACTGAATTTGGGTCTGCTAGAAATGCAGCCAGGGATCTTCATTGCTGAGTCATCTCTCCAGCCCCACCTTTATTTTCAAAGATCAATCTTTTGGAAGACAGCTCAGTTGGTAAACTGAGTTTGCCAAGCAAGTGTGAGAACTTGAGTTTAGGTCCCCAGGGCCAACCTAATAAACCAGGCCCTTCAACATCCTGGCAGTGGGGAGGTAGAGAGGAAGAATCTTGGGCTTGATGGCTTAGCCAGTCTAGCTCCAGGTTCAGTAAGAGGTACTGCCTCAAAAAATAAGGTGGAAAACAATTGAGAAATACACCCAACATTGACCTCTGGCCACCACATGCATGTAC